TTGCTATGACAAACCTTACTGGCTGCGTCGGGTGGTGGAGGGTTACGACGACACATTTATACTTACGCGAACTAACCCAAAAACGTTCGATTACGAACGACAGACAGTAAGATGCTCAGGAGCTAGACAGTCAACGTTCAGAGAGGTCTCCTGGCCACGACGAGAGGGCTTCAGGAGAGAGAAAGAGCCGGTCTGCTGTTCCTCCTCCTCTGTTGAAGGAGCGCAGATCACAGTGGCTTTACTCTAAGGCTCCAAGTAACTGCCGGAATAAGCTAATGCGGGGCCTGTAGCATATGTTATGAAGGGGCCCGAAATAAAATAAAAAACATGTAAATATTAAAACACAATTTTTTGTTAACTTGCACAGTAAAGTAATTGTATTTTTTCATTTGCTATACAGTTAGATAATGCGACAAATCGCTAAGCTTAAACACACAGTCGTTCGTAAAAGTTTAAGGCGGTATAGTACTATAGTAATAGAGCAAGTGCATAATCACTGAATCGGAATTGATAGCTTGAAAGCATTTAGCGTGGGGCCCTTGAAAGTGCGGGGCCCGTAGCATCTGTAGCTACTTGTGCTACTAGGATCATCCGGCGCTGTTATCGAGCACTTATAAGGGGGTGGGTGGCCAGCACCACACCCGACCGCCTTTGTCTCCCCAATGGCGATGTTTACACGCCGCGCCAGGTAATCAATTTGAGGCTGAGACAACCTAGGGGAGGCCCGGGACCAGTTCAGATAATCGTCACTTGGTGTTGGCCGTGAGCGGGAGTCGAACTCGGGTGAACAGGTTCGTAGTGAGCTCACCGCTGCATTACCCTATCCAGGAAAGGGTTGTTGTACCCAGGCACCTGTGCCACTGTTGGAGAATGTTAAAGCAGGCACCCACTGATATCGGGGCACTGATGGAGCCAGAAAAATCTGCCTGATCGCGTTCTGCCTCCTGCCAGAGGCTCCGGCTCAGACTCACACGCGCCGGTCTCGATCGTAATTACGTCTCAAAGGCTGGCACGGCGTGTTCTCAAACGTGACTCACCTGTTCCAGACAAAGCCACGTTGTGCAACACACAGTGCGAAGCATGCAGATCCGACTTGTGTTTTGGTGGATTGAGCACGGGGTGGGATATTATATCTGGAAGCGTGTGACTGTAAGTTGCCTCCAGTCCTTGCGAGCGCGTCTCTGTCTGAAGAGTTTGTCATCATTTGCATCGAGGGTTGTTAGAGGCAGCGATTTTACCTTTCCAACGATTGTTTTCGCCAATTTAGCAAATTCTGCATTTGCGTTACGGTTATCTTTACTTGGCGACAAATTATTTGGACGATGCTGCGGCTGCTGGCATTGGCACTGGTACACAAGCACAAGTAACAATAACAACAACAACAAAACGTAGTCGCCTTCCTAAATATATATTTACAATTGCAATGGGCAACGTTCGGGAAAATGGTCCTGATTCTCATCTCTGGCCCATGTGCTACGCCTGTAATGTTGCTTGACATTGTTGGTGAATGTAGCGCCTCTGGTGGCTGCATGAGGTCATGTAAACCCATCACGTGCTTGACGTAAACAAATCAAAACAAGGATCCTTATATAAGAATAGGTTTAACCCTTTCTGGCAATATAAAACAGTTTGTTTTAAGATTTTAAAACACGAAACTGAAACCTTTTGCAAGGAATCGTGTCTGCATTAACCACACACGGTACTTGTGGTGAACATGGAAACCAAAATAATGCTCTTGTAGTATACGATGCATTGTCTTTGAAACTGATTGGTCGACAGCTGAGACAGCTTTCTTTAGAGCCTAGTCTCAAACGGTGTTAGACCAGAGGACGCCAAAAGGCGAACAGCACAAAGACAATGCCACTATCAGGACATTGAGAGCTCGGGGTGAGCTACACTTACTACCATTGCATGTTTGTTTGCATGTTCACCACAAGTACGTGTGGTTATTGCAGGCACGATTCCTTGCGAAAGGTTTCTGTTTGGTGTTTTGACATCTTAACACAACGGTTTTATTGCCAGAAAGGATAAAACATATTCTTATATTTCGATACGGGCAAGAGAGGTCCCACAAGGAGCCTTATTACACACGCGAGTCAATGCATGCATCCCGAAATCCATCATCTGTATGCCCCTGTCGCAGACACACCGCTCTTCCGTATTGCAGGTAGAGAGACAAAGAGCTCATTAAGTGGATTCATTTGCACAAAGTTACGCTCGATCAATTGTTGTGGTCAATGACTCTGGTCCCTTGAAAAATGCCTACTGCATCGACATGCGGGAAACCCCCACACCTCTCCCCCACCCCGGTCAGCCACACGCGTGAACGAGACCTAACAACTCCCAATAACACCAATCCATTCCCACTGGCTCCCGATCCATTGCCAGATCCTGTGCACCACACTTTATTTTCCACCCACACGCAACATCCCCCCCACCCTTCTCACCCCCCCCGCCCCAAAGTCGACCGGTCTTCAATTTAGTTAGGCGCCACAATGGCTAAGAGATGTTAACTACCTCGACCGGTATGCAGTAGGTCGTGGGTTCGATCCCGACCCTGACACCTGCGATTATTTGTGTTGCTGGTGACTTTGTGTATTTCATATCGGAATCGCCTCCAGTGCTGTTGCTGCTGGCGGCAATAAAAGTTTTTTTTTTAAGTCAAAAGTCTATCATCATCACGGTGGCTAGGAGATGTTAACTACCTCGCCTGGTACACAGGAGGTCGTGGGTTCTATCCCGACCCTGACGCCTGCTGCTGTATATTTGGAGTTTGCGTGTCTCTCTCTCTCTCTGTGGTCGTGTGGGGGTCCTCCGGTTTTTCCCTCCACATTTAGATTCAACATCGCGCGTTTAGAGTATTTGGCTGCAATAAATTTCCACGTGATGCTAAGCCACTTCATTGAGCTATCACTTGTGGCCAGGTCGCTTCTGAAAAAAAGAGCTACATAGCTCAGTTGGGCCTTACCTGGTAAAATAAAATGTAAAAAAAAAGTTGTATAGTTCTGTACTACGGCGACTCTCAGTCCATAAACTTGCAGATGAACAACCACTCTCCTGGGTACGAGATGTGGTTATCCAAGCTGCTGAGTCTTTTATCTCTGTTGCTGAAATGCTCGTCCTATAATCTTTCCGGAGCATCTCATAATCTGGAAGAGAATAGGGGGAGGGGGGGGTCACGTGTTTGGTGTCATCCGCCCAGCGCGTAGCACCCCCCCCCCCCCGCCACCACCACGTGTAGTAAGGCGGTGCTGTGCCCACTCCCACTTTTAAAGGGAGCGTGCACACTCCCACCACGCGACACAAGCACGCACGTGTGCGCGTGGTGTGTGTGTTGAACTTCTTTCGCACCGTACGTAGCCAGTCGTGCTAATCGGAGGTTCGAGGGAAGGACAACAAACTAGGCACGAAAAGGAGTTCTTAAGAAATGAGTTTTCAATCTCGATGATTTAAAGGTGCAATCATCGCCTCCTTCTGCGAAAACGCGGCAGGAGCCTTCTGAAAAATCTGCCATAAGACTCGGTGAGACTTTCCTTTGGTGGACAAGCGACATCATAATAATCAAGACCACTGCCGTGGCGTGGATGCGCCAATAATCCGAGTCGTCATTATTCGGTCTGCACGAGTTACAACTCGTACGGCGCAACACGCAACACGCATTTTCGGCAATTAACAGATGCCCGCCGGCAGTTGATGTGCTAGCCAGATTTTAACGATGTCTTTGGATGTACTGTACTCTATGACATGTGCAATTTTAGATAATAAAAAAACACTCAATGTGCGCATCGGCGCTTTGGTGTGCTGCACTTAGGCGGACACTGCACTTCGCATGACGCACACGTGTTATATGCAGCAGCAGCAGCAATAGTCATGTACGGCCCGGTTTCAATCCACTGCTGTATGAAGGTCATCCGCACGCAGTGTCGGTCATTTGGGTTTTTTCTCTATCCAGATGCAACCTTTTGAATGAATCCTTTAAGAGTTTGAAACAACATCTCGCGAGCGAGGGGTGTCCACGGTGTCGATGGACACGTGCGTAGCAAAACACGCGATTGTACGACCTTGCGTCACCACGCTGATCAGTGCGGTTCGGTGAAGGGTTGGTCCGGGATCTGTTCGGTAAAATCACCCTCGCCGTCTCCTCCCGGCGACTGACTTGTCGCGAAGTAAAATATACAAATATACAGCGGTGGATTTACCGGTCTCCAGCGGCTGCAGGGTGTCGCTGGAATCGCCCCTCGGTGTACACCGCGCACGAAGTGAAACTGTCGACTGATTGTATGGGCAAGTGTAAGAGAATCGATGGTTCCACCGTGGCATCGCTGGCGTGAAGATCGCGCGACGCTGATTGACTGATGCCGCGGTGAAAGCGCCGTCAGCGCACACGCAGAGTTGCACAACGAGGCACAGACATCTCGGCTGTGCAATGCATTCATAACCGTGATTCTTGACAGCAACGGCGTTAAACACACACACACGCGCAATAACAAACAAACCCACGTCTGCAGTGAGCCATTACATTACTACCGTCAAAAATCATCGGCAGCGTCAGAGAAATTCCACTCGCAAGCAACGCCCAAAGGGTCATTCACGTGCCGGACATCGCGATGTACCCGCGTGTGGAAGGGGTAGAAGCGGCGAGTATCTTTGACGGATAGATTGATCGCTAGGTGGATGGGTTGTTGTATGAAGAGATGGAGGGAACAATGCGCACACTGCAGTTGTGTCTAGGGATGGACGAGATGATATCGTGGATGACCGAGTGGATCAACAAACTGACGCGGTTTTTTGTAATGTATGAAAACGTATGCCTGAATAGGTGGACGGACGAATGAATGCACGCACAAGCAGAGGTACGAATGAAGAGACACGATTATGTAATGAATTGCTGCCGCCTGTAGTGCCGATGTCACGACAATGTGCGCGCACGTGCGCGTGTGTGTGCGCGCGTGTGTGTTCAACGGGGTTGCTTCTGCAGCGAGGCGTCCCCAAAAACTCACCGGCAGATCCTCCCGCCAGCACCTGGTGGAACGCCTCGCGCAATCTGCCCCGCTCTTGCACCGCAATCATCTCTCTCTCGGGGGGGTGGTGGTGGCCCTTCGTGCTCCCAACAGCCAGCCGTGCGTATCTCTCTCTCTCTCCCTGCGTTACGTCTCTCCCCGTGTCTCTCGCTTGCCCCTCTCCCCGTCTCCGCTGTCGGCGTCTTCAAAGGGCCAGCGGCTGCGGCTGCTGCTGCTGCCGCTTTAAGATCCGCTGACGATGATGACGGCGGCGACGCTCGCCTGGGGTTGGCTGCCGTCGTCTATGACGCAAACGTGGTGAGGCTGTGTGGGCGGGGCCGTTCGTACGATGGTGGTGGTCGTGGGGTGTGCGCGTGGCCCCGTGGAACAATCACGCCGCGTCGATCCCCGCCCACGCCGTCAAACTCAAACGGAAGTTTACGTCTCTGACACTGTGACGTAGAAGCGCAGGAATCCCTCCACACCGGGCCCCCCGAAGCGCGGGGCCCGGTGCGGTCGACCCGATTCATAGGAACGGCTCTGACTGTGGATTTGGCGTTGGTTGGTGTGATGATGATGACGTTGGCGGTGGGGTGATGCTGTGAGCTGGCTTGGTCCCGCGGGGGCAGGATGTGCATTCCTTTGGTGGCCTGGCCGGTTTGTGCCCCGCGGGAGGAATCGTTGACGGCACCGGACTTTGCTTGGTCTCGATGATGTATCGTTTTCTCCGGATTATAAGACGCACTACCCCCCCAACCCCCCAAACATCTCCGCGCTGATACCCCTTACTTTATTTGAAAGCATAAGTTGCAGGTGCGTCTTTATAATCTATATAAACTATATATTAAAAAAAATTACCAGGTACGGCCTACTGAGCTATATAGCTCTAAACCGGAAGTCTTGGGAAACGTAGGCGTCCCCACACTTTACCCCACCACACGTGACCTATTTTAAAAATTTAGTATTTTACCATCTAAGGCACACTGAGCTATTTAGCTCTTTTCAGAAGCGACCTGGCCACCAATGATAGCTCAACGAAGTGGCTTGTCACGTGTGGAAATGTAGAGCAGTCCGGAGAAAAAAATAATCCACGCGACCACGGGGAGAGAGACACCGCAAACTCCAAATATACACAAGCAGGCATCGTCAAGGTCGGGATCGAACCCACGGCCTCCGGTGTGTGACCGGAATTATTTGTGAAACAAAAATAACATCGTAGCCAATCGGATTCCTGCAGGATAAATGCAGGTTATAATTAGTAATCACTTTGCGGAGCGGTAAAACACAACACAAATCTTGTTGACGAGTGATATCTGAACTGTACCCGGACCCCCACACGCGCGGCAACTTACATTGATCAGCGAAATGCTCTCTGCGTGTGTTGAACTTCTTTCGCACCGTACGTAGCCAACTGTGCCAATCGTAGGTGCGGTGAAAGGACAACAAATTTAAACACAGAAAGCAGTTATAAAGAAATGAGTTTTCAATCTGGATTAAACAGCGCACAGCAACAACATCAGTTCTTAAGAAATGAGTGTTCAATCTAGATGATGGTTCTAAAGTGCATGGCACCCGTGGCTTCCTCACATCGAGCGTGCCACGCGGCCGCAGAAGCGCATCTGAAAGCGCCACGAGATGCGGTGACCGCCGTCTTCGATGTTGAGCCAAAATCCGCTCCTGCGAGCATGAACCGAAGTTCGCGCGATGCTGTATGCGCCTTGAAGAGATACGTGTGCGGCCAAACAACCTCCCACGGTCTCGATTTGAAGTTTTCGTGACTGCAGGGACCCACACTCTTCGGTTCTTTCGGTAAAAGTAACGTAGGTAGAAAATACATTAAATCACGACGTTTCGGGCGCAACACGAGCGTCCGTCGTCAGGTGGGACAGCCACAGCAAGAAGCAAACTCCTGAAGTGGGTAGAAGGACTCCCGTCATACGAGGTTATATGGGTAAGAGAGGTGGGGGGAGGGGCCATGGAGGAGAGGGGGGGTGATGCCGGATGAAGAGCAGCTAGAAAGGATCAAAGGGCAAAAGCACGAACCGCCGCGGCGCGGATGCACTTGTCCAGCAGTGGAGTAAACAAGGGACCGTAGATTTACAGCCGCGTGCCATTCTATTCTAGATTTGAAGCTTTCGTGACTGCAAGGATCCATACTCTTTGGTTCTATTCGGTAAAGTCACGTGACTTTACCGAATAGAACCAAAGAGTATGCCATTCTTATTCTCAACACGCTTGGTCGATGCGAGCACCACAACAGGGAACGAACACTTCAACAACTCGTACAGAACACCGGGAGCTACGCACTTTTAAATGCGATTTGAAAACTCATATCTTTGGAACTGCTTTTTTTTGCGTTGAGTGTCGTCCTTCGTCCCGCGCACGTAGCACGGCCGGCTACGTACGGCGCGAAAGAAGTTCAACACGCACGCACAATTATCTCGTGGCATTCTAGAGCTCCCTCCAGGAGACGATACCACACGTGTGTAGAAGAGAGGAATGTGATTCGTGCGCATGTGTGCGTGCTAGCAAATACATACGTAAAGTAATATTGGGTGCCACAAAAAAAGCGAAGTGGATTTGATCACTTTTTTTTCTGCCGCTGATAGACAAAATAGGAGGCATTCATCCTGCGGTGATATCTGGACATCTATGAAATACTGGACATCTGTGAGAACGAACCTTATCGCTCATCGGATACCTCCAGTATAAATAAATATTCTGATTTTGATAACAAACGGGATGCTACGACAAGAGTGGATGTCTTCACATGCATAAAAACACATTATTGCATCACAAGAATTCCAGCATGCCCAGCGTGGCCAGATTACGTCACCGCTCTGAAACGTATTTTACACGTGTGGTAATCAGCATCTTCGACCACCAAACATTTAAATGTTCACCACATTTCACGAAAAATAAGACAGCGTTCCATGCTTGCCTGTGCAGTCGAGGTTTCTGCCATCATTTTAATCACGGTACGATATTATATTTCGCGGAATGACGATTGTCGCGATCTCAGCCTCCCTTACCTGTCCACTTTGTTTGACATGTTTTTTTTGTTATCGTAACAGCACGATTTTCGCGGTTGGTACGTCGCCAGATACGCGTTAACGTCGCGGCAAAAGCCCTTGGGCCGTGCAGAGCTCTGTTCGTATGTCCATATGGACTGTGTCCGCGAGGTGGCGGCAGACACACGCCGAAGCAATCGCTCTCAACCCCGCCGGTAGGAGGATTGGGTGCGGGGGGAGTGTGACCGGCCGCCCGCCAGATCACAAACTCGACGCATGAGGGAGTCAACGACACTGCCTTAAAAGACGTGTACAATCGACTCCGTTTCGACCAATGGCCCGTCCACTAGGCGCTGTGCAGAAGGGGGCATTGGCTTGCACAGTCGCCTATAGTGTCAATATCGTGTTCATTGACGAATGGGTGTTTTGTTGCATCGTGCACCACAACCAACGGCATCAGCAAATTATTTGAAAGTCTTGACACCATCTTCTCTCGTTCTCACGTGGTCAAACAAAATAAAATTGTACTACTACAGGACATTAAATAGGCAGACACCACTCCTTTCCATGTCTGTCCCTCCACGACGGCATCTTGTCTTGTATTTGTTTTACTTATATTCTCTCCAACGATACCGATTTTTTTGTTGGTGCGTACATCAATATCGAGCCCCAGGCTTGGCACGAGGAACCACAGATGCTGGAAGGCAGCCTCCTGGTGAGCCAGAGCCAGCGACTGCCCAACCTTCTGCCGTCCGATATCTCTCTATGAACCTGGTATCGGCCAATGAATGAGTTTACACGTGGGATCAAATCCGGAGCTCGCGCAGTGACGAGTGTGAGAGGGGAAACGCTCTATCCCGTCAGCGCGAAACAGGTGGAATGCATCTTGACTAAAAGCTTTCGTGACTGCAGCAATTCATATTATTTGCGTCTTTCGGTATAGTCACGGAGATAGGTTCAAAGAAAATAACAAAAAAACTTTTCTTTGAACCTACCTACGTGACTTTGCCGAAAGACCCGAAGAATAAGGTGGAATACATTTTTGATGTACCGCCCTCTCCTGGCGAGGCCCCGGTATGGCGCCTCCTCGGCATACACGGGAAGGGAGTTCAACGACATTCATACCGTGTTCACCCCGTATTCTTGTGCAGGGAAATTGAGTTTTCAGATCCATGCGGCGCACAGCCTTTTTCAATGCGGGCAAAAAAAAGTTTTTTGTCTATTTGTTTGCGATTCTCAATAAGGTCTGAATTGCTCTGTAATAAGGTAGGGCACTGATAAGGGCTTGACAGGTATGGAAATTATTCCAATCCACCAACTGCCTCCACAGTGCGTGCGACACAAAAATAATAAACAGCATCCGTCATCATCACTACCAGCACCACCAGCACCACCACGAACATCACCATCAATGACATCATTGGTGGCACGAAGCGTGACCCAAACTTAGCAGAGGACCCACAGATTGAGATGATGACGAGAGACGTGTACACAATAGCGGAATTCAGTTGAATCGCGGAACTGAATCAGTTCGCGCGCGGCCAACGCCAGTGGCGAATATTTGAACTTCTGGGTTTCCTGTAGGTCAACTCGGCCTTCAAAAAAGTACCTAAAGTGTTTAAACAAAGGCGATCTTGCGCAGAACTACCCCCGCCACCGCCCCCTCGCTCACAGGTGCTCGCTAACAGCACTTGCCCCCACGGCCTGTGGGAGGTTATCCAATTAATCTTTGTCTTTTGTGGCACGGTGCAGCCACACATCCAATAAAATTCTCCAATCAATCAAGCCGAGCCGCTGTTGAGAATGGAAGCAGGTGAACAACAGGTGAACAACAGGTGAACATCCCCTGGCCAACAATGTCCATGGGGTTTCATGTCGCAGACTCGGAAGCCCGACGACTCCTGCCATTGATAATGATGCGCTCACAACCACACCCCCTCCCCCCCCCCCCCCAAAAAAAAAAAAACCTCATTGTTTCTGGCCACGCTATAGCAGCACCTGCTGCTGCTGCCTGTTGGGCGCGCGGCATCCCTCTGCAGTGTTTACAGTAACCAGAGCGAGGCTCAGGCGATAGCCTGCGCGGCGCAGGTGAGCGAGGCACGTGACTTTGGGTAGCTCGCGGGCGCATCTGCCGCACCCCGCGTCCTGCCGACGAGCAGCAGGAACAATGAAGGCGGCATCGCAGCTAATAGGCAGCATTTGTACTGCTGCTTCTATGCTGGCCCACTTCAGAGGCGCGATCCCCAACGTTTAAGGTTCTCACTAGGGCCCGAAATTATTGATACAAACGTTGAATATGTCCCCTGCCATAATATAGGGGGGGGGGGGGGGGGTTCGTCTTAGATCGCGTACATATATACATGCGTCGTTAAACCCGCCACCACCCGACACAGCCAATTAGTAAGAGTTGTCACAACACATTTATATATGTATGCGATTTACCCTCCCAAAAAAACCTGTGTTATGGATGATATTGGTCGCGAAAGCCCCCTGCGTGTTAATATGTCCTCTGGTTCAATTGAATGTGTAGCAAATATTCAGAATCCATTACCGTCCCACGTTCACATGCAACCTGCCTTTACCTGCTTATATTTATATATATACACAGACATATATAATTGCGTTAATGGCCGTGTTTCTGAACCAAATGTCAAGTCAGGCAGTGGACAAATCCCAGTCAGGTAACCCACAACACCTGTCTTTGTGCCCCGAGCCTTGGACTCTCGAAGTGCACCCAGCCTGGCACCGTCACTTAGTGACGAGTTGGCGGTTGTTGTATTTGACTTGTTAATGAATTATACGGG